TAACCAACTGAGCTACGTAGCTACAGAATCCAGTTGTCATAAAGTATGGGTAAATATCGACATTTTTGGCATCTCGAGCAGAAGGTTAGGCCCCAGTTACACGATACCGGATTCGTATCGGAGCGACATCAATTTAAGGTACTATTTAAAAATGAAGCAATTATCCAATCTTGAGTAAGAAATTAGTCACGTGCATACGTCTTTATACCAGCAAAAGAACACTTTAACAAAAGACCATTGTTATGCAAACTATATAAAGATTTTTATATAAAGATTTTTATATAAAGATTTTTATATAAATATTTTTATATAAAGATTGACTTGTTATGCAAACGTTTTTGAAGCCATTTAAAAAACGAGCAGGAGTGTTTTATTAGGTTTAAAGCCACGAGCGCGCAGCGCGAGTGGCTTTAGACCTAATAAAACACGACCTGCGAGTTTTTTAAATGGCTTCAAAAACGTTTGCATAATAAGTCAAATCTTTATATAAAAATATTTATATAAAAATCTTTATATAAAAATCTTTATATAAAAATCTTTATATAGTTTGCATAACAATGGTCTTTTGTTAAAGTGTTCTTTTGCTGGTATAAAGACGTATGCACGTGACTAATTTCTTACTCAAGATTGGATAATTGCTTCATGAATTCATGATTCATGAGAATTATTAATGAGTTTTTGTTTTTGAAGGTGTTTTCCAGTCTTGTCTGCTCTTATAACTTTTCGTATTTGAAGTTATTTTTTAAATATGTTATATTACCATAATTTTAAGTGCCAAATTCACCTCGAAGCAGTAAAATTTGATGTCGCTCCGATGCGAATCCGGTATCGTGTAACTGGGGCCTTATTATATACAATTTTATTTTGGAATCTTTTTAATAAAGTAATAATATTATAATGACATCATTTGCTTTGTATTATCGTATATCAGCGAAAAATATATAGTGCTTACTCATACATTCTTTTTGAATAACACGTCTTTATAATACGCAAGTACTTCACATATTCCACTTTGTATCAACGTATGATTGAGGCATTTATCGTGCCAAGTCAACGTAAAAGTGAAAAAAATAGCTTACAGATTACAGTACTCAGTGAGTACTACTTTAATACTACTCAGTCTTTTTAAAACGATACATCTTTTAAATACTGTAAGTGTTTATGGGTCAGGCGATTTGCTGGCGTCACAGGATGTTCAACCAAGTGTCAAATTCCATGCATCACATGATTACAACGCAAACAATATTTTATGGAAGGCTGTAGGTATAAATAAATTACTGATTAGTTTACAAAAGTCCGTCTCAAAGTTAAGATGTCTGCTATAATAAACGGAATAATAAATTCCACCATCGGTTTACTGTGCAGTAAACTACGAGATTACACTGCAGAGAGACTCAACGAAGGCGATTTAAACGATGAAAAATTCAGACAGATCTTTGTTCGGGAACTCGATGATATTAAATCGAAACTCGATGGTTTGTCGAGAAAAGACCTGCTTGCCAGTCTCAGCTCTTTCAAAGAAGGAGTTACCAGGTTGTTTATTTCACTCGAGACATCTGGTGAATCTCGTCATCAGCCCAGTACTTCAAAAGCACCCATAGAAGACGAATCTGAAGTCGAAGGCGCAACAGCGACGA